TTTAAAAAGAATAAAATGTAAAATACTCACCACTAACACTAAAACCGTTCACGAATTGACCGGCCAAAGGAGGAAAAGTGTTTACAAAATCCAAATGAAATCCCAACTGATTTACTAAGTCAAATTTGACTTTGGTTTTAATGGGCCTAGACAAAGTGGCCCAAATGCCACTTGTTAGGGTTGAATTTTTCTGCGGAAACATGTGTCAGTAGTCCTGTTTGACCACGATTTTGACTCATTTCCCATCATTATTTGCAAAAAAAAAATAATTACATATTCTTAAAGTAGAACATGCATAGAACATTTCTGCATAAAAGTCAAACTATGGTACTTTAGGAAAAATATGAGGAAAATGCGGTCAACGTTGGAAGAAAATAACTGTTTTGAAGAACAATTTTGTCAAAACGTGCGTTTTGATTAATGAGGGGCAAGGAGGATATTTTCCGTGTGTTTGAATCAAAGTATAACCGCGAGTTTAAGTCAAATGGGAGTGGTTAGGTGTATCTCAACTCATTTCCACTTAAAAAGGTTGGAAGTTCAACAACTCCAAGGGCCTATATAAGAAAGTCATCCCTCCACTTGCAAATCATCCATTCCAAGCTCGTTTTCAGCTTCATTTACTTTCTCCTTCGTTGTAGAACTCATTCTTAGGCTTTAGATTCAAGTTTTAGTTGTTATTTCCTTATTTTCTCATATTTTTGCTTACCGTATTGCTTTTAATTCAAGTTCTATCTTTCGTTCTTCATTTATTTTGTTCTTCTTAAGTTCTTTAGCGAGTTTACACTCCCCTCATACTCAAGAGAAAAGAGGGTCAAGCTAGAACTTATTGTATGACTCGTTTATTCGTTTTAATTCAATAAAAAATACTTCCTTTAGTTTTCGTGCATTTTCTTTCCTTTAAAAATGTTCTAAATTAGTTATCAACCTCTTTGTGAAATGCCTTAGTAAAAATGATTTGATTTTCAACACGCTCGGGATTTTGTCCAAATTGCGCTTGACACTTTTTTGGGTTGATTCCTAAAAACTTCTCTTTACGTCTTTTTTCCATTTGGCCAGTGGGAACTTGATTTATACACTAAAGCCCAACCCTGAGAAGGATGAGTTATGTAAAATATTAGGAAACTAATATGGGATGCGACTTAGACATAAGCGCATAAAATATAGTCCTAGACATAGGCCATCTGACCCATAAAGCAAATGAGTTGATAATTATTCTCTAGGATTTGATAATCATTCTCTAGGATTGTAATCACACATAGACATATGATTGTAGGTTACCCTAGCTTCTACAGCAACCAAAAACGGTAGTGAAAGAGTAGAACTCAGTTTCACAAGAAAAGCCAGAATTGTCCCTGGTGCACTTTCTCAACAAAGTGTCTTTTCCATGTTTTGCATCAAAACTAAGGTAGGAAACAAAGAGGTTGAGTTTTATTAAATTACTTAATAGTTAAAACCCCAAACAACAACATTTTATCACTATTTTCTTCATAAACCGCAATTGTATATTTGAACCGTTCACTCTTTACAAGTTGTTTTGAAAAGGAAGAAGTCCCTGAAGATTCAACATTGGATTACTTCCGAGTATTACTTTTGACCGTGTGCGCTTGCACAAGTCTCTAAACTTCTTGAAGGTAGAGAATGCCCCAACACCACTACTATGCCAACAATCACCAAACTATTATTATTTTTTTTCCTTTTGATATTCCTAACAATTCCCCATAGATGACAAAAGAAGAAAATAGAAAAATAAAATAAAATTATGAGCAAATATAGGAATAAAACTGAAGCATTAATATCTTACGATTTGAATTAATGCATAGTGAAGTGAGACAACAACCTAAGTAGTGAAAGTGAGTTACCTCTTGAACTTTCAATAATTATGGTTGAGACCCCCATAATACATTTTAATCCTTCATTTCGATTCCGCGATATACAACAAGTGCTTTTAATGGCCATGCACATAGAACCTTGGGTCACATGAAAGCTCTAGAAAGAGATCTTAAACTCCTTCATAGAAGGCGACCTCACCCTCACAATCATGTTAGTGCTTCATAAAGTTTATCAAAGATAAACCATTTAAAACTGAGCTATGAAGACTTTGTAACTAATCCATCTATGAATAGAATACCTAAAGACTAGGCTATGGGTTTACATTACTCATCAATAATCCATCAAGTCTACACATAGACCACCTAACAAGGGCTATGGACTCACAATTGATGTATCAAGGGTTTTAGTCCTATACATGCCGAGGACTCAAGGATTACTCTCCTTGTTAGGCCTTTTGTGAGACGATTTGCCGAGTTCCTTTCGAACCTTACATACTCCAAGGATATTACTTCGTCTTTTAGCAACAGTTTCACAGCTGCATGTCTTAGGCGTATCTGCCTCCTCTTGCCATTGTACACACTGTTTTTGGAAATCCCTATGGCAGCTTGGGAGTCATAGTGTAGGGACATTGGCCTAGATGCCCCCTACAATGACACGTCTCCAAGAAGACTTCTGAGCCATTCAGCCTCTTGCCCTACTAGTTCGAGCGCTATGAACTCAGACTCCATGGTGGAACGTGCTATGCACGTCTGTTTTACTGACTTCCACGATATAGCTCCTCTACCTAAAATAAACACATATCCACTAGTGGAGCTTACCTCATCGTTGTCTGTAACCCAGTTTGCATCACAATATCTTTCTAACACAGCAGAAAATTTGTTAAAATGTAAGCTATAATCCATTGTCTCTTTTAAATACCTTAATAAACGATGAAGAGTATTTCAATGTTCTTTATTAGGATCATGTGTATATCTACTCAATCTACTAACCACATATGCAATATCAGGTCTAGTGTAGTTTATTAAAAACATAACACTACCTATGATCTTTGCGTATTCAGATTGAGATACAATTCACCCTTATTTTTCTTAAGACTTATGCTCGCATCATATGGTGTTCTAACAAGTGGTTTATCAAAGCTGTCAAATTTCTTCAGCATTTTCTCAATATAATGTGCTTGACATAATAGAAACCTTTATCATTTTTCTTTATTTTCACACCAATTATTACATCGGCCTCTCCTAAGTCTTTCATTTCAAAATGTGAAGACAACAATAACTTGGTATTATTAATGACATCTAAGTTTGTACAAAAAATAAGCATGTCATCAACATATAAGCAAATAATCACACATTCAGGTCCAAAACTCTTTGAATAAACACATGTATCACAACAATTTACTTTATAGCCATTGTTTACTAAAGTACTATTAAACTTTTGATACCACTGTTTGGGAGCTTGTTTTAGACCATAGAGTGATTTTTTAAGCATGCATACTTTATTTTCTTGACCAACTATTATAAGACCTTCAAATTGAGTCATATAGATCTGTTCTTCTAAATCTTCATTAAGAAATACTGTTTTTACATCCATCTGATGTATTAACAGGTCATGAATAGCAGCAAAAGCAATTAGAGATCTAATAGTGGCTATTTTGGTTACAGGAGAATATGAATCAAAATAATCAATACCAAATTTTTGTGTGTAACCTACAACCACTAATCTAGCCTTGTATTTGTCTATTGAACCATCTGGTCTCATTTTCTTTTGGAAGATCCATTTGCTCCTAATAGGTTTATTTCCTATAGGTAGATCTACCAAGTCCCAAGTTTGATTCAGAGCTATGGAATCTAACTCACTATTAATTGCATACTTACATAAGCTAGAATCTATTAAATTGATTGCTTCTTGGTAGGTTTTAGGATCTTCATTTATTAGCAACATGTAAGCAAAATGATCATCTATCTTATCACAATTTTCAATCAAAAAGATAGTTAAAAAGTTAGGTCCAAAACTTTTGCTAGTTCTCTGCCTTTTACTTTTCCTAGGTTCAGGATTCTCAACATTAGTCATAGGTTCTATCATAGAATCACAGATATAAGGAATAGACATAGGCACTAGTTCTAAGTCTCCACTAGATTCACTAACAGATTTTATCAGGAAATATATTTTCAAAGAATACAACATCTCTATATTGACAAATTGAATAGTCATTTAAGTTCATGAATCTGTAAGCAGAATTATTTTTAGCATAGCTAATAACTACACAATCAAAGGTTCTAAATCCTACCGTGGGTTTTTTGAACTATGGATATGCTACTTTTGCCAGACACCCTCATACTCTTAAGTAGCTTAGGTTAGGTGAATATCCTTTCCAAAGCTCGTATGGTGTCTTATCCAACCTTTTATGAGGAACTCTGTTAAGAATGAAACAAGCAGAGAGGCCAGCTTCCCCACACATATTATTAGATAAACCAGAGCTCAAAAGCATAACATTCATAATTTCTTTTAGAGTCCTATTCCTGCGTACAACTATTCCATTCTGTTGAGGTGAATAAGGAGCAGTAACTTCATGTACAATACCATGCAATTCACAAAAATCTTTAAGAGAGTTGTCACTATATTCACCACTCCTATCAAATCTTAACCTTTTTATCTTTCTATCCATTTGGTTTTCTACCTCAACTTTGAATTTAAAAAACATGCTGCTTGTTTCATCTTTAGATTTTAGAAGATACATTTGAGTGTATCTAGAGAAATAATCAACAAATGAAATGTAGTGGTGCTCTTGAAGTCAACTAGATCTGAATGAATTAATTCTAACAGTTCAGTACTCCTAGTAGTGACGGGTTTAAACGATTTTTTAGCAAATTTTGCCTCTACACATATAGGACATTTTCCAGTTTCATGCAGTTCAGAAGCATTGATTAAATTTAAACTTTTAAGTCTTTTAATCAATGCAACATTCACATGACCTAGTCTACCATGTCACAGATCAATGGATTCAACGATATAAGCAGAACGAGAATTACTTTCATTCATTGTACTAGAAGCAATCATAGTGTTAAGGACAAATAAACCATCAGCCAGATACCCCTTACCAACAAAATCACCATTCTTTGTGATGATAACCTTGTCGGCCTAAAAAACAATCCTAAGTCCCGCCTTATTCAGTAACTTCCAGATATCAAATTCCTACGTAGAGAAGGAACATACAAAACATCACTTAAAGATAAAGTTTTGTCAAATGTAAGTTTTAGAAGAATCTTCCCTTTTCCAAGGACTTCAACCGTAGCTGAGTTACCCATGAAGACAAATTCGCCGTCAGTAGAATCATGAAACTCGTGAAAGGGGTTTCGGTTTGAGCAGAAGTGTCGGTAAGCTCTAGTGTCTAAAACCCAGTCAGACTTGTTTTCTACTAAGTTTGCTTCCACAACTACAGCATCAATGATGTCGTCCGTCTCAGCAATGTTGGCTTGTGGAGCATGCTTTTGTTTTGGCTTTCTTTTCCTCTGGTAGGACTTGTGTCCAGGTTTCTCGCACACGAAACATACTATCTTTGATTTTTTCAATTCTTCCATCGGGACTCTTGAATTGAAACCCCTTATTCTTTTGGACTCGTTCCTGGGCAACCTGTTTTCCTTTACCTTTGAACCTGTCTTTATTTACACCAGAAGATTCAATTAGGTTAGCTTTAACTGAATTGACAAGTTGAGAAGAGAGCTTATCATTTTGCTTATTGGCTTTTTCTATGCGCATATGACTAATCATTTCTTGTAAGGTCAGATCTTTCTTCTTGTGTTTCAGATGATTGCGATAATCACTCCAGAAAGGCGGAAATTTTTCGAGCAGCAAATTTGTCTGGAGGATTTCACACATTTTCATGCCCTCGGATAAAACATTAGCTACCAAATTCTTGTACTCGTGAACTTGATCCATAATTGATTTGTCATCCGCCATTTGAAACTGCAGCCATTTGCCAACTACATACTTCTTTCTCCCAGCATCATCTCCACCATATCTTGACTCTAGAGTGTCCCACATAATCTTTGCAGATTTTTTAGTAACGAAAAAATCAAATAACGAGTTATTCATATGGTTGAGGAGATGCTCGTGGATAGTCTTATTATCCTTCTTGAATTTATCGGCGGCAGCAACGGCAGTGGTGGTAGTGGCTCCGGTGACAGCTCCGGCAACAGCTCTGGCGGCTCCGGCTACAGTTCCAGCGACAGCTCCGGCGACATTTCCGGCGACAGCTTCAGCGACAGCGGCAACGTCGGCGGCTGCGGTGGTCAGGACGTAGTCTACCTCCAATTGCTCGAAGAAGATAAACAGCTTTTGAGACCAGCGATGATAATTTGATCCATCCAATGATTCGAGTTTGGACCGGTCGGGAAGTACCTTGCCGGATCTTACTGAAGCCATAAAATTTGCTTTCAAATTGTCAGAGCAATATGAGGAAGAAGATGTTGTTGTGTCGTGGAACCCACTACCTTGAAAGCAAAATTCAGGACAACCACGATGCTAAATCGTTAATTGCCAGTTGCTTCCTAAGGTTAACACAACACCCGAATTCAGGCATGCACTCGCCGAAAAAAAGATTGGAATCAGCTCAGAAAAACTTGAAAACAGAAAATGGAAAGGGAATTGAGAGATAATTAAAATGAGAGAAGAATGTTATCGAGAATGGTGTCCAATAAATAAAAAGAGGAGGGTATATTGGATGGAAACCATTTTTTCTCACATTATTATTCAAAAATAATAAAAGGTAAAATACTCACCACTAACATTAAAACTGTTCACGAATTGATCGGCCATAAGGAGGAAAAGTGTTTACAAAATCCAAATGAAATCCCAACTGATTTACTAAGTCAAAATTGACTTTGGTTTTAATGGGCCTAGTAAAAGTGGCCCAAATGCCACTGTTATGTCAACCGTCACCAAATTATTATTATTATTTTTTCTTTTGATATCCTTAACAGACACAAATAAATCGTAATGGGCTTGGGAGGAATTGATTTAATTTTGAACCATAATCTAAATTAGTTTGAATTTTATTTCTCATTTATATAGGGTAGAGATTTTAAGGATTTATTTTAAGTTTCAAACTGACTCATGAAATATGGTAGGGTAAAATTGTCAAATGATGGAGTGGCAGTTCTGTGAACCTCGTGAAAGCATATATTGCTAGGGTAAAAATGGAAAATTACCCATTGCATAATTTCCACAAAATATGCATTGGGCATTTTTAAAAATTATAAAATTTGTGGTCATTTTTCATTAGCGTGCCGTTGATTTGACCATTACTCAGGATATCTCATAATTCTATCTAACTTTAGGTACTAAATTTTCATTTTCATTTATATTAATATTTCTATATGTCTATGGATTTAATATCGACATGAGGTGTGAATAGACATTTCCATAGTATCACGAAAAAAAAGACAAAATATAAAAATATTAACAAAAAATCAGTATTTATTTGTTGTTTTAATATTTATTATGAATTTTTTATTTTTATAATTTTTTCATAAATATCTATATATTAATAGTTATCGATATATATTTACGTAGAATTAATTGACACCGATATTTGAAGTTTTGTTTAGACAATATTTACACCGAAATAAAAAGTCAAAAATTTAAAATAATTGCAAAAATAGTCTAGATTCCATTATCATAATTTTTTTTTGGAAGACATTATCATAAATTTATTATTTGCCTGAGAAGAAAACATATACATATATAGATATATATAGAGCCATTATTTTGACAGAAAAGTTTATATATATAGAATTTTGGTTTGGATTATTTTGACAGAAAAGTTTATATATAGAATCATGGTTTGGATTATTTTGACAGAAAAGTTTATATATAGAATCATGGTTTGGATTATTTTGACAGAAAAGTATACGAAGGCCTTCTTAATGGAAACAAATGTGTAGGTTAAAGAACGAGATATCTTTTTTTTCTCCTCAAATTTCAATGGTTGATGTCAAGTTTTGGAGAGGTCCACGTATCCTTCGGGATAAGTGATCATAAGATAAATGAGCCTAACAATCCTTGACACCGGTGTTGTGTCTCATCTAATGGTCTCCGACAATTAAATTAGTAATCGAAGGAAAATGTAGTAGAGAGCACCTTAGAAATTTAGTGACAGATTTTCACTTACCCTATAGTCGTGGTGGTTCTTCCTTTTTATAGGTGCTCGTGGATGATCAAAGATGACATTCTCTTCGTGGCAGGGCAGGGTCTGTCGTCATGCGAGATTCTGATGGGCGGTTAGGGGACATCCCTGGGTCGTGGCAATCGTACCATGACCTGCCACTCTGTCTCCCTTTGGTTCATTTTAGTCTATATACTTTCAGCTTTGGTTCATTTCGTCTCATTTTTTTCCATGTACTTTCAGCTTTAGTTCGTTTAGTCTCTATACTTCCAACTTTGGTTCATTCTTATCATCGTACTTTCAAAACGTTCATCTTAGTCTTTGTACTTTTAAAAAGTGATCATTTTAGACCAAAATGAACATTTTGAAAGTACAGAATCAAAATGAACCAAAGTTAAAAGTAGGATCACCGAAATAGTATTTTAATTATATATATACTTTTCCTTTTTTTTTTAAATCAAAGAGTTTTCATTAGCGATTTTAACTATTTTTTTCAATCCTTACTTGAACGGTTATTTTTATATTTTGTTCAAATTAAGTATTCTCAAGGATTATTTAATTTATTTATTTACTTACTTTTTTTTTGTCATTTTAATGAAAAGATGAGAGTTTGAAGAGACAAAAATTTGGGAAGGAATACATATCTAGGTGCCTTTTTGTGGTATTTTGGAAATAAAGTTATTTTAGTGATCCGGTCCAAAAATATGATCCGGTCGCCTGCTTTTTACTCAGCACCACTATATGAGAAGACATGTACCGATAATTAAGACCCTTCAATATGTTCATTAAATAATTCAAATATTTTTTATTCGTAATCTATTTATGAATTAATTATTAAATTAATTCTAAAAAATTATAATACTTGTTGAATGTTTTAAAATAAAAATAAAAATAAAATAATTTAAAAACTACGTATGCATATATAAATAAATCATATTTCTATCAGCTGAAAATTGTTAGTCAAATTCATATATTAATGGAAAAAAGAATTTGATGATATATGCACCAATGTGTATGATTCACATTGGCTTTTTATTTAAAAATATGACTATACTATAATAAAATCAGTTAATAAAACTATATAACAACAATTATGTTTTTATTTTTTCACGATAGAAAAAAAAAACAACAAAACACGCCTGTCTTGAACTACTTTTTGAGCAAATCCACCTTATAAGTTATTTTTGCAATGTTTTATTCGGGTCGTAAATTTATTCAACTCAAACAAATTCTTATTAAATAATGAACCCAACCCAATCATGAAATATTTTGATTAAGTTGGTCTAAGTTAATTATTTGAGTCGCTTATTCAAATATTGTATAACAAAAAAAAGTAAATGTTAATTTATACAGTAAAAAACTACAGTCCAAAAATTTAAAAATTGTTAGAGAATAAATAAATAATTTATAGAGAACAATGGAATGATGTAAAATTAAAATAAATATATCCATATTTCATACGTAGGGTTAGTTCAATTCAACTCAAATTTATGTTAGGTAAACTCTTGCAACAACCTTGTTTGAGTATAGAATATCTCTTTAAACGATTGAATGAATCTCCCTGTGAACCAACAAAACCTGCAAGACAGAGGGTAAACACTCTGATGATCAAGTAAGTACAAGTCGGAATTTTGAAGTATAGGTTTGTAGTTGAGATTCACACATACCTTAGTAGGTTGTATTCTTTACCTTTCTAGGCGGCCACGTAATCAGAAACTCAGCAACCCCTCGTCAATTTCTCCCCAGATCACAGGATTTCGTGGGGATTGCATTAGCGTCTACTACCTTCCTACTTGGGGTTGTCAGGCCGAACAGATTAAGACGTGTAGTGGTGGACTAGAGATCGGTTTCCTGGGCATAGTTGAGTTCGACTTTCCGACCTCCCTACACTAATGCCTCCTTAGATCACCCTTTGATGCGTTGTTCTAATGGTGCGACACGTGACAGCTGCATCTCGGCTCCCCTGTAACAAATCCAATCCAATAGAGTTTTCATTTATTTGAACCAAACTCAATCCAAACAAGTTTATAATCTAACTTAAATCATGTAAATTAGGTTAAGTTGATCGAATTTTTGAAGTCATCGAAGTTTTTTAACACCCGTAATAATAATTGCACTCATGTTCTTTTTCGAGTGATTCACAAAAATAAAAGAGTGTGGCTTGTAATGAAGGGCAGAGGCTGGAGACTTGCGTGGGGAAGAAGGTGCCAAAATGGAACACAGCTATGTGTGTAGCCATCAATTGAGGGAACCCCTATGTCTCACTCTCACCTCCACACACATCTTCCTTGCATTTATGGCATATACAAAAATCTCGTTTGGAAGCATTCGGTCCTTTCATTTTAGTCTTCGTACTTCGGTTAATTTTTTATCGAGAAATTTTATTCCATATCGTAAATTTTGACATGCTAAATTATAATTGGCGTACATATATTTACTATCAATCATATTAGTTATACGCAAACATGAGCTTATCTCAGTTGGTTAAGTCATTTATCTCTAACCAAAAAATCGTGAGTTCGCATTCATACCCTCACATGTTATTGTATTTAAAAAATATATATATATCAGTTCTACGTTTCATTTTAATCTTCACACTTTCCCCTCATATATGTTCCCGAGTACATTTCATTTTCAGTCTACTGAATTATAATTTTCATTCTAGTACTTTACTAAGGTTAATTTTCATACCTAAATTAAATTTTTTTTTGGAGAAATTTCACTCTCTAGTATAACTTTAATATGTATTATTTATTTATTTTTTCAAATATATCATATGTCCAACTTTTTTTTTAATGTATTTTATATGTTGCATTTGAATTTGATTTTGATTATGCTATTTTTGTAATGTTTCAAAAAAAAATTTCTATTATTTATGGAAATAACTCATTTTGTTAATAGTGTTCAGGAAATAGATTAGTTTCGAAAGAAAGTTTAATGTTGATAAGAAATTAGTAAATCTAGTGTTAAATTTGATGAATGTTACAAATAGAACATAGCATAGCTTCAAAAATTGTCAAAGTCTAAGTCGATTTTATGCTAAAATTAGTAGGATAAATCACACTTTAGTCTACAATTTTTCAAAAGTTATGAGTTATCCCTAAATTCTGCAAAATTGTTTCATTTAGTCACGACACTACTTTTTTAATCTTTTTTTTTCTCGAGTACAAGTACGTGGGAGTGAGGATTTAAACTCACGACTTATTGTTTGGAGATKTATGTAGTTGAATTAAGTTAAGGTTGTTTTTAATTGTGATTT